CCAGCAACACAACAGTGTCCTAACCCCCATTGAGTAAATGAAAAAGACTTGATATGGCGTAGAATGCGTATTCTACAAGCATCCAGAAAGTACGAGGTCCGAGTTCAGAAGAGGCTAAGGATCCCTGATTAAGGAGCCGGGTCCTGTAACGTTACAAATAATGCATATTTATACAGTTAGGTCGAAAAGGGAAACAACATTTGAAGTACGTGACACTGATAGTTAGAATGACCAATAAGAATTGACCAACAGAATTAGACTCACAAAATAGTTCTCTTAGGATATTGGATGAATATCCTAACAGAAACAGAACTAAATCCGCGTTTAAATTTATTTATCGTAGAATTGTAATGATTATCGTAATTTTCTAGCCCTTTTCAGTTGTTGTTGTTGGTGGTGGTTGAATTCTGTCGATCAGGTCACACAATGTAACGCACAAAGTTAAACGGATGGATCTAATGATCAAAAAGCTTTGAGCTTAGATTTCAAACTAATTAAAAATTTTTTTCAATTAAAGTTATGGAGATTAGTGTTTTTTGTTACGGGTGCACGTAAACACGTCAACTTGATTTACTTGAACTATTACGAGGATCGAGGATCCGGTGACACGACATGCTACTCTAATCCGATTATCCCAACCTCCATATTTAGTTAAAATAAGAAGACTTGATATGAAGTAGAACCTGTATTCTACAAGCATCCAGAAAGTACGAGGTCCGAGTCAAGAAGAGAATCAGTATCCCGGACTAGGGATCCGGGACCGCGTACTGGACCTGGTCGTGGTCATTAAACGTTACAGATAATTTGTATTTATACAATTTGGTCGATAGGAAACAGCATCGAATTCTGTGGTATTGACAATTAAGACGACCAATAGGAAGCAACATTTGAAGTGACATTGACAACCAGGACAACCAATAAGAAACAACACTGGAGCACGTGACATTGATATCTAGGACGACCATAGGAATTAACCAATAGGAATAGACCAATAATTCTCTTAGGATATTGGATGAATATCCTAACATTTTTACACATTGAAATCAGTAACTACCAATGACAAAATACTTAGATCAATCAGAGTTAGATATTAACACCGTTGAATGCCAGCCTAATGGTCTAGAGGTTAGGCGTTCGCGCACTAAAACCGAAGGTCCCGGATTCGAATCTTGCGAGGTGCAGGAGTCGTGGATGCGTACTGCTGATGAGTCCCATACCAGGACGAAAACAGCCATCTTTCAGTGCTCCGAGGTTTCTAATGGTGATCTAACAATGATTGATTGATGATGTATAACTTGCCAGCACAACATATCTTAAACTCTTAACAAAGAAACCTCACAAAACTGACACTACTCATGAGATTTAACTAAATGGCCTCATCTTACATAAGAATGTGTACATATAAAACTAATTGGCATGTACAGTTGAAATAAATAAATTTAGAGCAAGAGAAAAATACACTGAATGAACAATGTGTAATCTATCTAAAATGAATAAAAATATATATTTATACATAAGAAAAATGTTGATTAACAAGAGTGAAACTAATTAATTATTAAAGAAGACTATTCAGCATATGATTTCAGTATTGTTCTTCTACTTCCGTATTTTATGGTTCAAGTTTAAAACTAACATCTGGTGATTGTAAACTAATAGTTATTTTGAGGAGTGGATTCGTTTCAGAATCTCATTCAATAATTATTTCTAAAAATATAATTGTGAATTATTAAATTGGCAAGAAATCAAACGAGAGAATATGCGCTTAAATTCTGTATAAATATTCTTTCATATACTAACTGGGGGTGATATTCATATGAGATTCAGTTTCGTATTTCCACTAGTTCAGTTTAAGTTCTTAAAAGATCTTAACTATACAACCACTGAAAACCTAAAAACACCAGGTGGCCGTTTTGTTTTACTATGGAACTTCTCAGCTGTCCATATCCAAGATAGGGCCGCAAGCAGAGTCACACTGTAGTGAACGAGAACACAGGTGGGGCAACCGAATTGTATTTATTCGAAAATTACAGAGTTACTCAGTAAAATAGGAAAACCATATCGTAAACGGTTAATTTGCAAATCTTCAATCCATTATCAATCCATTGTCTGACATTTCACCACTATTCATAAGTTTCATACAAATTCCATTGTGTTCCCACTCTTCCTTTCTTGATCTTCCCTCATCTTCTGCTGCCAGACATTACGTTTACACTCACGTCATATACTACTTATAAGTAGCTCGCACCACAACACTATTAAGGACGAGTATGAAACAGTGGGAGTTGTTGAATATTAGGATTTGGTTGAAATCAAACATCAAAAACTGTTTGATTCCGGTTTGATTGTCTAGAGGCTACGTGTTTGCGCACAATGTCAAAGGTGCTGTATTCGACTATTAGATCCGGGATAGTCGGTGTGTACTGCCTAGAAGTTCCACAACACCAGAATGATATAACCATTCAGTGCCAAATTCATGGTCATGATATATACTTTAAATAATCACTAAATATTAGGAAGATTTATGTGAATATAACTGTGTTTGGCCAATAGGGGTAGTTGTTACAAGCTTTCTTGAGATAGCGAATAAAATCTTACACTGTCATTCAATTTCTGAATGTTGCAATATGGATGTTTTGAAAAATTGAAGCATTACTTCTGATTATCATGAATAAACTATTTAGCAGTGATTTATATATTGAATCAAATCAATTAGAAGATAGTCTGGGAAGAGTATAAAGTTGAGACAATAACGTAACTTTTAGGTATAAGAAGGACAAGTTAATGTGTCGGCGTGTGGTGCGCGCCACTTATAAGTAGTATATGACGCGAGTGAAAACGCAATGTCTGGCAGCAGAATATGGGGGAAGATCAAGCAAGAAAGGAAGAGTGGGGGGAACACAATGGAATTTGTATGAAACGCATGAATAGTGAGTGAAATGTCAGACATTGGATTGATGATGGATTGAAGATTTGCAAATTAACCACCGTTTACGATATGGTTTTCCTATTTTACTGAGTAACTGTGTAATTTCCGAGTAAATACAATTCGGTTGCCCCACCTGTGTTCTCCTTCACTACAGGCGTTGTATTTTTCAGTTTACAAACAGAATAACCTAAAAGATTTAACAACTATAGAAAATCAGTTCATACACTACTGTTCAATATTATTATTGCTTTCTTTTTTTCCATGAACTATCCATTTATTAAAAAAAACAACCTACTTCCGGATTAGTCAAGATCCAATTTGAAATCAATGTTCAATGGTCAATGTTTGATAAAACAAGAAGAACAAAATGAAAGCTACACTCACTAAGAATGTCAAATGAAAACTTTTATATTTATTTGTATTTATTTAGAACGAACATATTATATACAGTTGGTGATCTCATTTCATATTTGCATTACGGAGTTTTGAAGATTATTAAGTTACAAATTTTGAAATAATGAATTGGTCAATGTTAGACCACCATTAGAAATCTGGAAGCACTGAAAGATGGCCATTTCGTCCTGGTATGGGACTGAGTCATCAGCAGTGCGTATCCACGATTCCTGCACCTCGCACGATCCGAACACAACAGGACCTTCGATCTTGCGTGCAAATGTCTAACCTTCAAACCACTGAGCCGGTATCTAACGCTGTTAATGTCTAACTTCGATCAATTCACGGAGTTGCGCAACTTCTTACACTGTCTTTGGTAGTTACTGTCTACATCCGAACAGGTTGAACTACACTGATCATGACTTCCCACTAGAACTCGGAGAAGATTCCTCACGGAGCTAGTCACTAGCGAGCACAGGTAATTTGCATTACGCGGTTGTGAAGTTTGTTAGGGTTACACAATTTGAAATCATGAATCGATCAATGTTAGACCATCATACCAGGACGAAACGGCCGTCTTTCAGTACTTCCATATTTCTAATGACAGTCTAACATTGATCGATTCATGTTTTGAAAATGCATTTCATATTTGTAAGTAAACATTACAAATAATCATGCTCGAAAATCTTTTATATCTTTTGTAATGGTCATAGTGTGGTGCGCGCTACTTATAAGTAGTATATGACGCGAGTGTCAACGTAATGTCTGGCAGCAGTAGATGAGGGAAGATCAAGAAAGGAAGAGTGGGGGGAACACAATGGAATTTGTATATGAAACGCATGAATAGTGAAATGTCAGACAATGGATTGATGAAAGATTTGCAAATTAACCGTTTACGACATGGTTTTCCTATTTTACTGAGTGACTCCGTAATTTTCGAATAAATAAAATTCGATTGCCCTCAACTGTGTTCTCCTTCACTACAATAGTAATTTTTAAGCATACTTTCAAAGTAATTTTTTATTAGGATAATCGATTTGGCACACAGATATATATTGTATACAATACCAGTCTTATTGAGGCGTTTGATATTAACTTATTATACTGAATAAAATATGTGAATGTATGAAGTAATTCTTTTAGTTATTATACTTACAATGTACGTATATACATTTTGTTGTCTTTCCTTATTTTCTACATTGTGTTTGTATGCATGTGAGAATTTGTGCCAATATGTTTTTGTGCACAACTCACTCATTCACTCTGTGTGTGTGTAGCTCGCTAGTACTTGCTCTCTCTCTAATACACCAATCTTATTTATTACCTACCTATGTAATTTTGAGTTTGTTCAAGGTAGTTTGTGTTGTGTTATGTATATCTTGGTACTAATGTCATTCAACTAACTATCCAGCATGATTCACACACACACACACGCATACACACACATACACAAAACAAACCCAACTAAACTGGATCGATTCGAGACAATGTTTATATCAACACAATCAACCACCATAAAAAAAATACCAATTTTGTGATTTATATGGAATGATGCATAGAAATTTACACATAAACATACAAACACACAGACAAACAGACACACAAACAGACAGACAGACAAACAAACAAAAATGTTGAGCAAAATGACTAAATTGATGTAGAAAGCAAAAAAAACAAAGAATTTCTAAAAGTTTAAATTTATTTTAGTTATTTAAAAATTACCTAATATGCGCCTACACAAATTATATGTGTAGTTAGTTTAAAACAAAATTTGGACTATGCACTCATTTCGAACGAATGAATGAATGAATGAATCAATGAGAATAAAGAGAGAGAGATTTATTACCTTAACTCTATGACAGATAATGTGTGTATGTGTATGTGTGTGTAAGTGGTGTTATCAATGAAAGTATGCAAATATGTGAATAGATATACACACTAGTGTGTACTCACTCACTCACTCACTCACTGAATTACTCTTTCTTATCGACACTACAAAACAGAAGCTTTGTGTGTGTGTGTGTGTGCGTGTTGTATTGATTGTGATTTGTGAATTTCTATGAAGAGGGGCAAGCGGCACAGACATATTCTTGTAATATGAATGGATCATTTTGGATTATTGAAAGCCAAGACTAAATAATCATAATAACACTCTACACACAATGTGCATAAATTGTAGTGTTGTTTTCACATATTCTCATACACATCATTATGAGACGTTATGCTTTTTGTAATTATTATTATTACAAAAATATAAAAAGGCCATTTAGTATAGAATTGAATTTAGAACTTTGATGATTTTTCTTTCATTCATTGTGTATTATTTTAGAATGATTGCAACAAATGGTGATTAGTGTAGCAGAGATTAATTAATTAGTTAATTAATTAAACAGTGATTATTATTATTATTGTTATCAATATTAACATTTCATCAAATCAACCTATTTCGATTCTTAATTCCATTCGGAAATATCATCATCATAATAATAATAATCATATTATTCACATCGTTCAATATTTTTTCATAAAAATTACCAATCTCTGCAATTTTCATCTCAGAGTTCATCATCATCATCAGTGAGTGAGTGAATTGATAATTTCATCTTTCTCAGTTTGGGTCACTGCGTCTGTGTGTCTGTACGCGCACGTGGTATCTTCCATTGTTCTACTGTTGGATTATTTACACAGTCTCTCTCTCTCTCTCTCCATATATATATATATATTGTATAAATTTACGCAGATAAACAATACTTCTTCGTCTTCTTCTTCATTCAAGAAGATATCTTTCACTTTAGATAAAAATTTCTTGCATCCGCGTGTGCGTATCTGAGTGTGTGTGATATTTCTGAACATTATTACTCTTTCTCTCTCTGTCGCTTATTCACTCTTCCTTTGATATTTCGTTTTCATAAAATTTCTCTACTCAACATCATTTTCGATTTTGTCAGTGAGAGCTGTTACTGAAAAAAACGAAAACATCAATCATCATCTCAATTACAAAGGAAGATAATGAATAAGACTATGTTTCATGTCAATAGTTTATAATTCATCGTATTATTTTAAACAACTTTGACTACAACGACGATTAAACGAGGAACAATATTGTAAAACATTATTTATATACATATATACATATATATAGGAAATATTTATTCATATCTAGTTTGATTTTATTGTTGTCATCAATTATTTTGTATACTTCTTATTGATAAAAACCACAACTACAAATCTATATTGATCATTGTCTACGGATTACTTTTGGCTACTTTATATTGTTGATATTCCACCAACAGCAACAGCGTCAACATCATCATCATCATTAATACGAAGAATAATAACAACATTCGCATTCATTGATTTCTAGTTCAAATAAATTTCTTCTTGTTATCTGAATCATTTTTCCACGTTCAATATTCAATATTCAATTGTCAATAACCAGAAATTGAAAACAAATGGGTAAGTTCAGACAGAGAGAGAGTGAATTAATTATTGTTTTAATGAGTTAATGATTGAATAAGTTAACAACACACTGTACTTTATATATAATGAGTTATTTTATATGATAGATTTGCTTAGATGAAAAAAAGGAAAACAATGTTTTTTGTTAGATTTGTGATAAGTTTGTTTAAGTATTCCGTCTACTACTACTAGTACTATTACTACTCATACTACTATTACTAGTACACATACGACTACTTCTACTTACACTACTACTACTACTACTACTCACACTACTATTACTACTACTACTACTACTACTACTACTACTACTACTACTACTACTACTACTACTGTATTGAACGAGAACACAGGTGGGGCAACCGAATTGTATTTAGCGAAATTACAGAGTTACTCAGTAAATTGCAAAACCATATCGTAAATCGTTAATTTGCAAAATATCAGTTCATCATATCGAACTGGACTGTTCCTGTTGCAAAACATCAATCCATTGTCACTGTTCATGCGTTTCATTCAAATTCCATTGTGTTCTAACTCTTCCTTTCTTGATCTTCCCCCATGTTATGCTGCCAGACATTACGTTGACACTCACGTCATATACTACTTATAAGTAGCTCACACCACACTACTACTACTACTACTACGACTACTATTATACTACTCATACTACTATTGTAGTGAAGAAGGACACAGGTGAGGTCAACCGAATTGTATTTATTCGAAAATTACAGAGTTACTCAGTTTAAAATAGGAAAACCATATCGTAAACGGTGAAATTTGCAAATCTTCAATCAATCATCAATCCATTGTCTGACATTTCACTCACTATTCATGCGTTTCATACAAATTCCGTTGTGTTCCCCCACTCTTCCTTTCTTGCTTGATCTTCCCACATCTTCTGCTGCAAGACATGACGTTGACACTCACATCATATACTACTTATAAGTAGCGCGCACCACAACCACTACAGATCATGATTACTATTAGTAGTAACATTTTGAACATTGAATACTGCTGTTTCTTTGTAAGAAAAAAGTATTAAAAAAATAGTTATTAAATCCAAAATAGTAATACAAACTACAGTTTAGAGATTATTTAACTTTTGTAAGTAGCAAAGTGATGGCTGTTTTGAGTTGAGTGATCGATTTCTATCAAGTCATTCATTTAATGGGATTGATATTTATTAACTAGGTGGTATCTTAATATATAAAAGTTATCTAACTTATTGAAACATATATGAAAGATGTATAGTTCTAGGTTTTTGATTTATTAAAGATTATCAATCAGATAATATTGGGATCGATTTATTAAGATAGTCAGTTAGTCAGTCAATTAGTTACAATGTAGAACTTCGTACGTTCATACGTGTACATCAGTTCAACTTGCCATACCACATTAGTACACACAGATGTGATTATCGATTCGAATCCTATAGTAGTAGAATTAATACAAATATGAGTAGTAATCGGAAAGATCATGGTCATTTACTGAGATAACCCCCGTTTTCGACACCTGCAAGTAAGCAGAACAAGTTAATACAATGAATTTATTTATGGAAAAGTGACGTTTGTCAGAATTATTATTATTATTATTATTATTATCACTATCCTTAAAGTCATCACATGACAAGTTAGACGACTGGAATTTATCACTGAGTGAATGAATACTAGATGCAATGTATAATACAGTGATCAGTATTATTGTTATTATGTAAACGTACCATGGTCACGACGAATACATAGGAACTATGAATTCAAGTCAACCAGTAAAAAAAAACACACACATCATAAAATCATTAGAAAACTAACATACAATCAAATAAACTGATATACTGACAGACAGATAGATACAACGCAGAACTTCGTACTTACGTAAGTACATCAGTTCAGGTTGCCATACCACAACACAACTGTCAGTTCAAATCCAAGAGTAATAGCGATAGTAAAAGTATGAGCAGTAATGTAGAAGATTAGAGAGCGAAGATATGATTTGAGAAGTATATGATTCAGTAAGATAAATTTAGAAAAGAGAAAGATAGAGATTATGAGGAATAAATCAATAAGAAGTAACTTCTCAGTCAGAAATAACATCCTAATGTTTGTATAAGCTGGAGGGAGGGGACTATTTAGTCTCCCTAGACAGAAGAAAAACGAGTTATCATTGATTTTTTAAAGCAAATTAATTATTCATGACAAGAATGAGCGTTCTGTTTGAATTCTTTATTTTTGATTTTTTTGAATACAGCTACTGAAAGTCTTCAAGCTCGATTGACCGATTTCGAAGTAAGTGTAAACAATGAATACAATTTGTATTTGTTTTTGTATACTCCCCCCCCCACACACACACAATGAATGATATGTACTTTTTAAATTTTTTTTCTCTCGCCCAAATTAATATGTTTACATTTTTTCGTACTAAACTAACTCTCACTGATTACAGATCGATCAATAGTAATGTGTATTGAAATAGTTAGAACTGATCAAAAAAGAACTTTCTAAGAACCAAAAAAACACATAACTTGTAAAAGATCAGTTAAATTTTATCACTCCCCCCCTCAAAAAAAAACAAAATCAATCAACAATCTGATTAGATGTTAACAATCTTTCCGTTTGTTTGAAATTAAGATAGTAAGATACATATTCAATTGGGATATAAAATGATCAATAGAAATGAAAGTCTTAATTATTTAACGATTTATTATTACATTATGGGGTTGTGAAGATTGTTAAGTTCAGTCAGTCAGTCATTCAATCATATGCAACGTAGAACTTTGTACATAAGTACATCAGTTCATGTTGCCATATAACATATTGGCACAGAGATATAATTGTCAATTCAAATCCAATAGTAGTAGAGGTAGTAAAGGTATTAACAATAATTGGAGAGGTTAGGATTAGAAGATATTATTATTCAAGAAGTATGATTCAGTGAGAAAAGTTTCGGAAGTCAAAACTAGAGGTGTTGAAGAATGCAGAAGATTAGGATATGAGAGAACAGATTGTTAACTTACACATTTTGAAATTATGAATCGGTCGATGTTAGACCACCATTAGAAGACTGGAAGTATTGAAAGACGACCGTTTCGTCCTGGTATGGGACTGACTCATCATCAGTGCACATCCACGATTCCTTCACCTCGCGCGATTCGAACACAGCAAGACCTTCGGTCTTACGCGCGAACACCTAACCTTCAAACCACTGAGCTGATATCTAACGCTATTAATGTCTAACTTCGATCGATTCGCGATCTTGTGCAACCTCATACACACTGTCTTTGGTAGTTACTGTCTACACCCGAACAGGTTGAACTCCATTGGTCACAACTTTTTAGTAGAAGTGAGAGAAGATTCCTCACGGAACTAGTCACTAGTGAGCACATGTAATTACATTGAGGGGTTGTGAAGATTGTTAAGTTTTCTACTATTATAAATAATAAATAAATAAATATACCTCAAACATAATTACGTAATTTTATTATTATTATTATTATTATTTAACCTAAATTTAAACAATGTCACCGATTCAAACTAGAAATAATTCATTCATTCATTTTAAATTTTTTCGTTTTAATCTTTCGAAATAATTAGCTTGTTTGTATAAACAAACCGATTAGTCTTTTATTCAAACTATGCTGTATATTATATAGTATTAATCAATCAATTGATTGTAGTAACCATTTCATGAGAAAAGAGAATAGACCTACTCATAAGCTGTATACATATACATATATATATATTACTGTAATATCAATTTGTTTTAATTAATGAATAACAAAATTAGTATTATTTTGTTTTATTGAAAAAAAAATCTATAATTTCCGATACTTCAAAATGAGTATAGAATTCATTTGTTAATAAAGTACATCTTTAATATATATATAGATATGATTTGGCGACATTCATTGGTAGCTTATCGAAACTGTAGAGTACTTACTGGCTGGCCATTTCGTCATACATAGTATAAGACTCTTCAGCAATGCACATCCTTGAATCCTTCCTATAAGACGACAATCTAACCTACTGTGGTGGATACTACACTTAAAGTGGTTCATACGAAGTATGCGATGTAGTGTAGCTCAGATGTTACTACTAAAGAGAAGAGTTTAAGGAAATTGAATTGCATGGCTCAGTTAGAATATTCTGAAGACCAGAATAAATATGCAATTAAACAGTCATCATTAATCATGCGAGTTGATGAGTCCAAGTTAGGATGAAACATACGGCCGATACTCGATTGTTAACTCCTATAGAGTAATAGTAAAATATCATAATCTATTTTAAATCGATAAAAATAATCTGCTCATACATAAAAATATAAATTTATATACCACCTCCTTACCTTGTTTTTCCTTTTTTTTCAAATATTTTTTTTTCTATTTGTCTAGCGTCAAGCTCGTGGTGTATGCATTGGTGTAAATCATTTGGCACTTGATAGTGAACGTGTTAGACAAGCTGAATTATTACAAAAAATTATACAATTAGAAAAAGATATTCAATTATCTGTAAGTAGTAGTTAATGAAAAATGAATTAATTTGTTAATGATAGGTTGTTTATGGATTAAAGGGATAATGTTAACTTACTTACTTACTTACTTACGCCTGTTACCCCCCAATCGAGCATAGGCCGCCCACCAGTTTTCTCCAACTAACTCTGTCCTGAGCTTCCTTCTCCAGTTCTGTCCAATGTTTGTTCATTCCTCTCATATCTTTCTTTATTTCTCGGTGTAATGTGTTCCTTGGTCTTCCTCTTTTCCTTTTACCTTGAGGGTTCCATGTGAGGGCTTGTCTCGTGACGCAGTTAGGTGCTTTCCTTCAATGTGTGTCCTATCCACTTCCACCGCTTCTTCCTGATTTCCTCATCCACTGGAATCTCGTTTGTTCTCTCCCACTGTACGTTGTTGCTGATGGTGTCTGGCTAACGAATCCGAAGTATTTTGCGTAGACAACTGTTAATAAACACTTGTATCTTCTGGATGATGCTTTTCGTAGTTCTCCAAGTTTCGTCTCCATACAGTAGAACTGTCTTCACATTTGTATTGAAAATCTTGATTTTGGTGTTGATTGATATTTGCTTGGAGTTCCAGATATATTTCAACTATAGAAATGCAGTCCTTGCTTTGACAATCCGCGCCCTCACATCTGCATCGGATCCACCTTGATTGTCGATGACGCTGCCCAGATATGTAAAGGTGTTAATGTCCTCGAAGGCGTCTCATTCAAGAGTGATTTGGTTGGTGCATGTTGTGTAATAATGTTAACTAGACAACAAGTATTCAGAAACTAAAGATAACAACTTACTTACTTACTTACGCCTGTTACCCCCAATCGAGCATAGGCCGCTCACCAGTTTTCTCCAACCAACTCTGTCCTAGGCTTCCCTTTCCAGTTCTGTCCAATTTTTATTCATTCCTCTAGTATTTTTCTCTGTTTCTCAGCGTAATGTGTTCCTTAGCCTTCCTCTTTTCCTTTTACGTAGAGGATTCCAAGTGAGGGCTTGTCTTGTGATGCCTGTAGACCCTTCGGAGCTACTGCCGGTCTCAAGCCTGGATAAAGGAGGAGGGGGTTGGACATGGGGTTAGCGCCCCCACCCCAACTAAAAACGAACTTGCCAAAAAACGCTAATCAGAAGAAATAATTCAAAGATATATAATTCGGTCTCATAGTATAAGAACATTTAGTATTCATCAAATGATGTCAGAACATATTACTAATTACTAAATGTCAACTCAGTTAGTAGAAAGTTTTAGATTTAATAGATTATAAGGTTATATATATAGATGTGTATTAACGAGAAGTCCTATATGACATAGATAGATGTTTAGTGTTAGATGCTTTCAAAAAAAAGGTTCTCTCATTAAAATTGTAGGGAACGAGAACATAGGTGAGGCAACCGGATGGCATTTAACGAAAATTACAGAGTTACTCAGTAAAACAGGAAAACCATATCGTAAATCGTTAATTTGGAAAAAATATCAGTTCATCATATCGAACTGGACTGTTCTTGTTGCAAAACATCAATCCATTGTTACTATTCATGCGTTTCATACAAATTCCATTGTGTTCCCCCCACTCTTTTGTTTTCTTGATTTTCACCCCATCTTCTGCTGCCAGACATTACGTTGACATTCATACTTATAAGTAGCTCGCACCAGAAAATCATTACGTAATCCATACTATATTTAAGTCTGGTTTGTTTGTATAAATGTCAACATTCATTTATTGATTCAATCTATGATTGTTATTATTATTATTATTATTTTTTAGAGTGCACAAAAATCACATCTACCTGATGCAGCAGCTGAAATTCGTGTAAGTTTCATAGTTTTCTTTGTATGTGCATTCTTATCATGTTTCAAAAAAGAATAACAAAAGACAGATTACAATGTATTTACAAAGTATTTATTGATAAAGTAATTTAATCAGTATTACAAGTGTTGAGTAAACTGTAAAATAGAATTTTGCAGTACATTTTATCATTAAAAACAAAAACAGCAAAACAAAATCGGAGCATAGTTGCAATGACTTTTACCCTGGTTACTGTTGATACTGCTGAATTCAAGTTAGTTTCTCATTATTAATTAGCCATCATGAGCAGATATCTGAATATCTACGAGGGTTAAGCATTTGTACAGAAAGTCCAAAAGGTCTTCGACTCGAATCCCACGTGCAAGCATCGTGAATACGCACTATGGATAAGTCTGATGCCCAGAAGAAACGGCCATCTAGTGCTTCCAAGTTTCTAATGGTAGTCTCACATAGATCTTCTACTTACAACATCAATGAAATTCTAAATTAGGTTTTTTTTCCACAATGACAATGTTTAAACAATGAAGATTATTACAACCTAGATATTTCATTTTAGGATAAAATAAGTAAAACAAACATGTTCCAAGTTTAACTGTTAAATAATTATCAAAAATAAATAAAAGTAAAAAAAATAAAATTTTACATTGAAATCGTGATTTAATCATCGTTAGACCACCATTAGAAACGTGGAAACACTGGACGGCCGTCTTGTCCTAGTATGGGACTCATCAGTAGTGCACATCCACAATTCCTCCTACTCGTAGAATTCAAACCAAGGACTTGAGGTGTTGTGTGCGAACATCTGACATGTAGACTACTGAGCCGGTATCCGCCGATGTTAATATCTAACTTTGATCAATCTAAGGATTTCACGCAACCTAACTCATTGTCTTTGGTTGTAGTTATGTGGTGCGCGCTACTTATAAGTAGTATATGACACGAGTGTAAACGTAATGTCTGGCAGCAGAAGATGGGGGAAGATCAAGAAAGGAAGAGTGGGGGGAACACAATGGAATTTGTATGAAATTGCATGAATAGTGGTGAAATGTCAGACTATGGATTGATGATGAATTGAAGATGTGCAAATTAACGGTTTACGATATGGTTTTCCTATTTTAAACTAAGTAACTCTGTAATTTTCGAATAAATACAATTCAGTTGCCCTTACCTGTGTTCTCCTTCACTACAGTTACTGTCTACAGTCGACAGGGTTCAATTTCACGTGCAATTTAATTATTTAAAATGAAATTATTAATTTTTTTGGGGCAGAGTTTTGGAGGTTTGCGTTTTTACACATTTGAAATCATCAAGGAATCATTGTTAGACCACCATTAGAAAGTTGGAAGCACTGGACGGCCGTTTCGTCCTGGTATGGGACTGACTTATCAGCAGTGCGCATCCCTAGATCAATCAGAGTTAGTCATTAACACCGTTAGATACCGGCCCAGTGGTCCGATGGAAAGGCGTTCGCCTACAATGCCGAAGGTCCTGGGTTCGAATCCTGCAATGAGCAGGAGTCGTAGATGCGCACTGATGGTGAGTTGTCCCATACCAGGACGAAACTGCCGTCTTTGCATGCTTCCAGGTTTCTAATGGTGGTCTAGTAACAATGATTGATTGATGATTTCAAATGTGTAGAAATCATTAATAAAAATTCAATTTATCATAAAACTATTTTTTCCTCTCTTTTTAAATTTAATTTTTTTTTTCAACATTTTTAGGATGATGTAAAAAATAATACAGCAGCATTACGTTATTTGGAAACAATTTCTCAATTGGAAAATTCATTTACAGTAAGCTATAAAAAATCCAAAATACATTATCATATAATCTAATTTAAATTTAGGTTCTAACAGAAAATGTCACTGAAACATCAGTACAATTAAGTTCACCGAAAGAATTAAAAGATGAAGTTCATGTGAAAAAAGTAAGTTTATACAGTCGTTTTTTTTTCTCTTTTCCTTGCTTCTTTTTTTTTTGCTTGTCAACGAAAAATAGTCAAATAAAACACATAAACTCTTAGGATTATCTTCAAATTTGAAGTAATATGCATAAGCTGCAAGTATTTGAATCATTTATGGTTTTGAAGTATTAGTTGTGTATGATGTAATCATTACTCTTTCGAGGTGAAGACAGGTGTCAGGCAAGGTTGCTTACTCTCACCCTCTCTCTTTCTCCTGGTGGTCGAGTGGGTTATGAAGACGTCAACATCTGGAGGGGAGCACGGCATCAACTGGACAGTTAGGACGCAGCTGGACGATCTGGACTTCGCAGATGACCTGGCTCTTCTATCGCACACTCAACAACAAATGCAAGAGAAGACGACCAATGTAGCAGCAGCCTCCGCAGCAGTAGGTCTCAACATACATAAAGGAAATATCAAATTTCTCCGATGCAACACAACATGCACCAACCAAATCACTCTTGAATGAGATGCCTTGGAGGACGTTAACACCTTTACATATCTGGGCAGCATCATCGACGAGAAAGGTGAATCCAATGCAGATGTGAGGGCGCGGATTGGCAAAGCAAGGACTGCATTTCTACAGTTGAAAATTATCTGGAACTCCAAACAACTTTCAACCAAAACCAAAATCAGGATATTCAATACAAATGTGAAGACATTTCTACTGTATGGAGCAGAAACTTGGACAACTACGAAAGCCATCATCCAGAAGATACAAGTGTTTATGAACAGTTGTCTACGCAAAATACTTCGTATTCGTTGGCCAGACACCATCAGCAACAACGTACTGTGGGAGAGAACAAACAAGATTCCAGTGGAGGAGGAAATGAGGAAGAAGCGGTGGAAGTGGATAGGACACACACTACGAAAAGCACCCAACTGCATCACAAGACAAGCCCTCACATGGAACCCTGAAGGCAAAATGGAAAGAGGAAGGCTAAGGAACACATTACGCCGAGAAATAGAGAAAGATATGAGAGGAATGAACAAACATTGGACAGAACTGGAGGAGGAAGCTCAGGACAGAGTAGGTTGAAGAAAACTGGTGTGCGGCCTATGCTCGATTGGGGGTAACAGGCGTAAGTAAGTAATCATGTGATCATTAAGTAAGTAATATTAGAGTTAGGTGTAGGTATTAATTGGTTGATTGATAAAGCTATCAAGCGTTGTTGAGTTATATGTTACTCAAGACCAACCTCTACTTACTTATACATCCAGCACTGGCTAGAATAGGTGAAGTTGATTAGAAGACTTTAGATAATCAAACCAACAAGTTGCGTCAATTTATCGATTGAACAGTAATCATTGTTATCAATAACTAGTTACTTAGTGCTGGCTGAAATCTGTTGATTAAGTTGTAGTATGACCACTAGTCTAGGTGACTGACTTATTAGATGGTTTTAAGTAGTCGTAGTTTGGTAAGTAGTTCATGACACCACTGATTATTTATTTCAACTATATCGAAAAATATAAAATTTCTTTTCATTATCAATAGAGATAATAATCATTATCTATGGTTAATTTAAGATTTCAGTGAATAAGATTTACAATCGCTATCGTTCTGTAGATTTTGGATTCTTATAGTTTCTTATTATTTTCCAAGAGAATGTCTTGAATTTGATTTTTCATATTCATTTGTACATTATTACAATATTTTCAAGTTCTCCGATTTTAAGTCAGTCAGTCAGTCAACTAAAACGTCGAACTTGAAACGTATGTATATCACTTCAAGTTACCATATGTTACGCATGCACGTAAACATGTCATTGGCTATGCTTGAACTATTACAAGTTTACCTTAGTCGGAAAACGAGAGAGAGGATCGAGGATCCGGCGACACGACATGCTACTCTAATCCGAGTGTCCAAACCCCCATTAAATAAAAGAAGAAGACTTGATATGAAGTAGAACGTGTATTCTACAAACATCCAGAAAATAGCAGGTCCGAGTCTAAAAGAGAACCAGAATCCCAGACTAAGGATTCGGGTCTGGGTCATGAAATGTTACAGATAATGCGTATTTATACATTTAGGTCAAATAGGAAACAGCATCGAAGTCTGTGACATTGAAATCTAGGACGACCATAAAATTGACCAGTAGGAATTAACCAATTGGATTTTTGTGGTGTTTCACTCTATCTGAAGTTGATGCTAATGATGTTCTTCAGAAAAAGAACAATGAAAGCTTCACAACCAAAACATCCAGCTCAGAGAATGAAACACCACAACAATAAATTAACTAGTAATTTTATAAATTAACATTCTACTTGTGGAATTTGAATTAACTCTTCAATTCGATCAATGATATACACAGCTTAAAGCCCAAAGAGAAAAATGGGACAAACATTCTTAATTATCAACTGTCGATTAGATTCCATAAGATTTTCGGACTTAATGATTTACGTTATGAAATGGTTGTAATCAGACAACTACTGAAAACTAGAATGGTTTTTTCCGATACAGAACTGAGCAACAGTATACATTCCCACCAGGAGTCGAACTCAAGAGACGAAGGTCTCTAAATGAGCAGTTAACCTTTAGATTGCTGATCACGTTAGTGTTCTGCCATTTTCTGGTTCCATTCCAAACCTAACTGTTTCATATCGAACATGGTTAAAATCTTTCATTTGATAAATTCAATACTGGTTAACTAAATTTTATATGAATGTTTTTTTCTTTTCATTGACAATAAATATAGGAATTATCTAGTAATGTGAAAAGTTGTTGGACATATGTTTCACAATTGGCTCGATTAAGTCAAGTACACATTAAAAATGCTGCTGAATATCATCAGGTAAGAAAATAGTCAGTCCATTGTTAAAAAATAAAGTTAATATGATAGTTCTAGTACAATTTTACATATATCAATGATTAGTTTTACATTTTAAATAACTAGTTCAAAGTTATTTCATAAGTTATCAGAAATCAATCAGTGTGATCACAGATCAGCAGACCATATTGTTTGTCTCATAATGAACTGTAATATATTTGTGAACGGTTTTCACTGTTAACTATTTATTTTTCTGTTTTTGATTGTGTTACGAATGCACATAAACATGTCAATTGATACGCTTGAATTATTACGAGTTTACTCTAGTCAGTAAATGAGAGCGAGGATCGATGATCCGGCGACATGACAGGCTACTCTAATCCGAGTGTCCCAAACCCCCATTCAGTAGTAGAAGAAGCAGATGTGATATGAAGTAGAACGCGTATTCTTCAAACATCCAGAAAATAGGAGGACCGAGTCCAGAAGAGGATAAAGATCCGGGTCCGGGTGATAAAACGTTGCAGATAATGCATATTTATGCATTCAGTTCGAATAGGAAACAACATTGAAGTCTGTGAAATTGATAGTTAAGACGACCAATAGGAAACAACATTTGAAGTGACATTGATAGTCAGGACAACCAATGGGAAACAACATTGAAATCTGTGACATTGATAGTTAGGACAACCAATAGGAAACAACATTTGAAGTGACATTGATAGTTAGGACAACCAATAGGAAACAACATTGAAGTATGTGACATTGATAGCTAGTACGACCAATAGAATTAGACTTACAAAAATAATTCTCTTAGGTTATTTGATGAATATCCTAACAGATTGATGTGTAAATTTCATTCTATTTTTAAATGAATAAAATGAAGTGTAGCGTTAAAATTTAAAAACTAAATCATTAAAGTATACTTTGATAAATGATGATTAATAATGACTACTTTTAAGAATATGAGCATATACATCACATATACATCATATAAAATGTCCCCTTATTTTTAAAAAAAAACAATTTTTCAATTATTTGTACTAAGTAATTAAAACAATACCGATAACATCAACACCAATTCTAACAAAAAAATAATACTTGTTGACAGCTTTTTTTTATTTTGTTGATTCAAAAAGAGAGAATTTTAATGATGAATAGATTGTCATTGTCTCATCTCATCTCAATAAATATCACACTCATTGTAATCAGTGTATATATATATGAATTATGAATTTATAGATAATACATTTTTTAGGACATCGTTGTACTAGTAATATTTTTTCAAAAAAAAATTCTTTTACAATTAATCATACTTTACAAAAGCACAAAATCATAAATTACATACATATATATTCATTATCTCTAAGTTTAATTTTGATAGTTCATAAATCAATTTTCGTTGTTAACAGAATAACTAATCAAACAATACTGATACTGACTGATACTGGTCGATCGATCCATAGGGCGATCGATCGATTCCATTGGTATCGGTTTTCAAGTCAACTATATTTACTTATTATTCATCATTGTTTGATTTTATTTACTAGGTTTTTTTTTCTCGTTAAGTAAAGAAGAAAAAAAATCTACTAACAACAAAAATTTGATAGTTGTTTTTGGTGTAAATTTTCATCTCGTTTTGTTTAGTTAAGTAAGCGTTAAAAAAAAAAAAACTCAGTATGTGCCAGGTCACAGATATTTGTATATATTCATATTTACATACTGGTTAGTGTTGGTTTATCGATAAAATCAGTTTCTGTTTATTGATTAGTTGAGTTTCTTATTTAGAATATATATATATAATTGAATTTAGAATAAGGAATGTTTGTTTAATTAAAGAAAATAGATTAGATTGTAATTTATTTGAAGTGGTACACAAAGTATGAATGCTTTAATAATTGAGGGTTAGGTGTTATGCTCGTCGATTCATGTGCATGAGTTCACCTTAGTCGGTAAACGAAAGCGAAGACAAATGATTCAGTGACACAATAGGCTACTCTAATAGGAGCATCCCAAGGCCCCACTAAGTAAAGGAAGAAGTATTGACAAGACGTAGAAAGTGTATTTTACAAGCACTCAGAGAATCTGAGGTTCACGAGCATACAAATCGCGTTTATTTATACATGATAGAAACGTCATCAGGAGAGCCACAAAAATAACACACAACCAATAACAGTCAATGATTTTTGTGGTGGGAAATGTAATCTCAGGGTCACTTGATCAGCCAATGCGTGAAACCTTAAAATCCAGAATTAGAACCTTTTCCAAATGAGTTTCAGGGTGATCTAACATCGCCAACATTAGGTAATTGTCGACAGCTAATGAAAAGAACTCAACTTAAGTTTATTGTTAGTTGACGCGAATTATTTGAAATGTAATTAGAATCCTTTATAGAAATGATGCTCTTCATAGAATCTAAACTTATTTCACCCAGTACTACAGCGAAAGATGTTACAGCCATGACTGATCTGTTACAAAATGAAACATGATCATATAACTATATCATATTGTTCAAATTTCAATACTAATAAGAGTTGATTCAACCAGTTTGAAATGTGAACAGTAGTGATATTGTAGTGAAGGAAAACACAGGTGAGGGCAACCGAATTGTATTTATTCGAAAATTACAGAGTTACTCAGTTTAAAATAGGAAAACCATATCGTAAACGGTGAAATTTGCAAATCTTCAATCCATCATCAATCCATTGTCTGACATTTCACTCACTATTCATGCGTTTCATATACAAATTCCATTGTGTTCCCCCCACTCTTCCTTTCTTGCTTGATCTTCCCCCATCTTCTGCTGCCAGACATTACGTTAACACTCACGTCATATACTACTTATAAGTAGCGCGCACCACAATATGATGAATACCTTAATACCACGGTTTATTTTATTTCTTCTTAAATAGTTTAAAACAGTAAAACAAAAAAATAAAATAGAATTTTCTGGATTTAAGTTTTAGATGAATGAATAAAAGCAAACTATGGCTATAATGTATAATAATAAATAAGTTTTAAATATTTCATATAGATTTATTTAATTAACCTTCTTAAAATTTTAATTTAAAAATAGTTTTAATAAGAAAAAAAAACGGAAGTTAATTAAAGATCAAGTAGAAATTTTTTTAAAAAAAAATAACTATTCATCTTTTGTTTGATTATTATTATTATCATTTAGAACTTTTCACAAGTTCAATAAAGCCAGTATAGAATTTTTATGTCAATAACATACCATTAAGGTCATGGTAAAAATTATTTTTAACTATCTATGTATGAAGTGTGATTGTACCACGCATAATCTTTCTGATTATATGATTCTATCAAACAACTACTATGATTAAGGTATCTGAGATACTAGTGTTACTGTGGTGCTGTGGTGCGAGCTACTTATAAGTAGTATATGACGTGAGTGTCAACGTAATGTCTGACAGCAGAAGATGAGGGAAGATCAAGCAAGAAAGGAAGAGTGGGAATGCAATGGAATTTGTATGAAACGCATGAATAGTGGTGAAATGTCAGACAATGGATTGATGATGGATTGAAGATTTCAAATTAACCGTTTACGATATGGTTTTCCTATTTTACTG